GTGCCAAGATGGGTCCAGGAGGAGCAGGAGATGATGGGTACCGAGATAGGTCCAGCAGGAGCAGAAGGAGATGATGGATGCCAAGATGGGTGCAGGAGAACCAGGAGAAGATGACGGGCACCGAGATGGGTCCAGCATGAGCAGGAGGAGACGATGGGTACTAAGATGTTTTGGGCAGGACCAAGCAGAGATGACGGGCATCAAGATGGTTCAAGGAGGACATGATGAGTGCCAAGATGGTTCCAGCAAGACCAAAAGGACATGACAGATGCCAAGATGTGTCCAGCAGGGCCAAGTAGAGATGACAGGATGCCAAGATGTGTTGGGCAGGACCAGGAGGTGATGACGGGCACCAAAACAGGTCCAGGAGAAGCAGGGGGAGATAATGAGTGCCAAGCTGGGTCCAGCAGGAGCAGGAGGACATGACAGGTGCCAAGATGAGTTGGGCAGGACCAGGAGGTGATGACGAGCACCAAGATGGGTCCAGCAGGACCAGGAGGAGATGACAGACACCAAGATGGGTCCAGGAGGACCAAGCAGAGATTACAGGTGCCAAGACGGGTTGGGCAGGACCAGAAACAGCAGATGGGTGCCCAGATGATTCCAGCAGAGCCAAGCAGAGATGTTTAGTGTCAGGATGGGTCTTTCAAGGCCAGGAGCAGATGATGGGTCCTGTGATGGCCAGCAGGGCCAAGCAGACGTGGTGGGTGCTGAGACAGGTCCTTTGGGACCCGGCGGTGCCAACATGCGGTGAGATGGGTCCGGCGCGCTCCAGGGATGGGCACCGTGATGGGTGCGGGCAGCGACCTGCCTGCCCAGCTCCTCCGGCACCCCAGGATGGGCAACGGGCCACAGTGAGCCACCCAAAGGGACACCCCCCCAGCACCCACCCAGCTCTGCCGCGAGATGCGCCCCCGGTTGTCCCCGTCAGCTCCTTCCCTGCCAGCTGGGACTTTTCCAGGCACTGGGACAATTGTCACTCTGGTCCCGACGTGCCACGTTCTCCGGCTGCTCGACGCCTGCTCAGCACCGTTGGCTTCTCCCGGCCCTGGAGGTGCCCCCTGCCCCACGGCTCTGCTCTCAGCCAGAGACCCAACCCCAACGGTGATGTGGGGGGACCCATTTGGTCCCCCCCCCCCCACCGCCCACCTTCCCCCATCCCCTACGCTGTCACCTTGCTCCCTAGGTCCCCTCTGCCACCCACGGCCACACAGGACACCCGGGCTGGAAATCCCACCCGTCCCCGGGGAGCCGGGATGCTCCTCGCCTGCTCTGTGGGTGCTGCCGTCCCCGGGGACCCCCAAAGCGGCCGATCCCTCTGGCTGGCAAAGAGGTGGGCAGTGAGATGGCCGGAGGGTCGGGATGGGGCATGGGGAACGGTCCTGTGTCCCGTCGTAGGACGGGCAGGGGTGGACGGAGATGGGCAGGGTGGTGGGGGGACACACGACGAGCCACCCAGCACCCTCCTGCTGCAGGGGTCCGGCTTGTGCTCCTCGGCCGAGCGGGGTTGGAGGAGAGGGGGCTCGTGGCGGGGAGGGACTCGGTGGCGGCTGCTATAGGACGCCCTCCATGAAGCTGGTGTCGAGGTGCTGGATGAGCACCCGGATGAAGGACATCTCCTTGCGGGTGTTCTCGAAGATGATCCGCGGGTCGTCCGACTGGCAGCGCAGGCAGTTGGGGGCCATCACCATGGCCAGGTTATTGACGTCCATCTTGGTGACGGCCACGTTGGCTGGCTGCACGAACACCTGGGGCGGGAGGAAGGGAAGGCGGCGTTGATGGGATGGTGGGGAGACGAGTGGAGGGACCGCGTGGACCTCCTGGTTCTTGGATGAGATGGGGGGGGTCACCACGTGGGTAACCCCACGGCAACTCGGGGAACCCAAAGCCACCTCAAGAGAGGCAACCGGGCTGGAAGGTAGCCCCAGGGGGGACACGGGGAAGGTCCCGGCCGTACCTGTAGGAAGCGGATGAGGTAGCACAGCACCATTTTATTGATCCTGGGCAGAGAGTGGACGACAGCGATGGCCGCCTCGGGGTTCTCGTAGTGAGTGATGCACTGCTCGTAAAACTCGTGGGGGATCAGTGGCTCCTCCAGCTCCCGGTACCAGAGCTTCAGCAGGGAGGCTGGGGAAGGGGGGGGGAGAAGATGGGGAAATGTGAGACCTGGTGGGTGGAGGGCCTGATTCTGCACCCCACCCAGCACCCTGGGGTCCTACCAGGAACGTGGGGGTCCTCCAAGCCGGTGGGGATCTTCCACTGGTCCACCTGCAGCTTGAGCGCGTTGACCTCGTCGATGTCACCGGGGACTCTGCAGGGGGAAGAGATGTCGGTCCCCAAATAAGAGATGGGGACCCGACTGCCTAATGCCCCGCCCCGGGCTTTGGGGGGGTCCCCTTGGGTGCAGGTGGGGCTCAAGGAGAGCCAAGAGGGGACATCAGCTGGGGGTGGAGGCTTTGGGACCTGTTGCTGCCCCACAGCGACGTGGCATCCTGCTGTGCTGTGGGGCCGGGGGGATTGCGCGCGGGCCCCAAGACACCGACGTGACTCTGGTGGACACCAGAGAACGGGCGTGACCCTGCTGTGGAGAAATCCCCACGGCCTTGGAGCAAGGAGAAGTTGGGGGGCTGCTCTCTGCCCCATGGGGAGGAGAAAGGCACCCATGGGGACATGGGGAGAGACACAGCTGCCCCACGATGAGGTGACTCGTTATGGCTTTTCCCCATGAGAAGGTCTGGGCTGCCACCATCCTGGGGGGTCTCCCCGCAGCCGTAGGTGGCTTTACCTGAAGATGCCCTCGGTCTGGTCCCCGTTGAGCGCCAGGACCTCCTCGGAGAGGCGGGTCTGCACCCAGGGCAGCTGCCGGTCGGGGTACCGCTCCTTCTGCATGTTGATGATGTCCTGCAGGGAGCTGCCAAACATGGAAGGGTTGAAGACGGCGTTCTTGGCATGGCGAATCTCCTCGATGTTCGGCTTCTTCAGGCCCTGCGAGAGACAAGAGAGGCCAGTGGCGGCGTCAGGAGCTGCGGCCGGTGTCCCTGCAGCCGGGACGGGCATGCGGGGTCCTGCTCAATCCCAGTACCCCACGGCTGAGCATCCAGGGCTGGTTGCCACGCATCCAGAGCCCAAAGCCCATCGCATGATGGAGACAGCAGATGGAGCCATGGATGAACTCCGGCCAAGGTCTCCAGTGGCGCCACGCGCCAGAAGCTGAGTGCCGAAATGCAGCCGGTGGGCAGGTGCCTCCACCCATCACCTTGATTCGAAAGCAAATCCAGCCCTGGGGACTCTCCCCACGGTGCTTGGTAGGACCCCCATGCTCTACCGCCCGTGGGGTCACGGCAACGCTGGAGCATCTACACCAATGAGCCGCGTAGGGAGGAAGATGAGCCACAGCTCTGGGATGCTTCTGGAAAGCAGAGCACCAGCACCGTGGTAGGTCCATCTGTGGCTGCTTGAAGCGGGGGCATCAGTACCGGCACCGGATCCTGCGCGGTGCAGGGTCAGGGGAAACCTCTGGGTTCCCTCTCCGTCTGGGCTGGTGGTTCGGTCACAGGAGGGCACTGGTGTTCCTCCAACCACGCAGGAGATGTGCGTGGCCATGGCAGGATGCAGAAGGGATGGAGTTGGTGAATGTGTGCGTGGTGGGATGAAGCGGTGGATGCGTGCGTGGTGGGATGTGGAAGAGGAGATGGATGCGGTGGATGCGTGCGTGGTGGGATGTGGAAGAGGAGATGGACGTGGTGGATGCGTGCGTGGTGGGATGAAGAGGAGATGGATGCAGTGGAGGCGTGTGTGGTGGGATGAAGAGGAGATGGACATGGTAGATGTGTGCGTGGTGGGATGAGGAGGAGATGGACGCAGTGGAGGTGTGTGTGGTAGGATGAAGAGGAGATGGACGCGGTGGAGGTGTGCGTGGTGGGATGAAGAGGAGATGGACGCAGTGGAGGTGTGTGTGGTGGGATGAAGAGGAGATGGATGCGGTGGAGGTGTGCGTGGTGGGATGAAGAGGAGTTGGATGCAGCTGCCTGACAGCTGGATCTGGCCCAGCCAACAGAAGGAGCCACCCCAGCCGTGCCTCAAGCTGCTGGTGGGGTCCAGGTCCTCAATCACTCCTGTCTGCCTTCAAAGTTCATCAGGATACGGCCATCGATGAGCCCTTGGTGAGCCCGGCTGCTGTGGACCAAGGAGGGGCCCCACCGTCTCTCCTCTACTCCCACAAAACAAGGAGGGGGAAACTGAGGCAGCCGTGGTGGTGGTGGTGGCCATGAAAAGCACCCCAGGCTGTAAATTAATCCCTCTCCGGGGTGTTTTATTAAATAAATCAGTGATGACCCCAGGGATGGATCTGGCTCAACAAGCTGCTGTGGTGATGGCGATCTGGGAGAAGCGGGGGGCCAGCAGGGCAGCCCCCCCCCGCCAAAAGCCAGGGAGATGGGAGCTGCTGGAGCTGCCTTTTCAATCCTTGCCGCGGTTTTGCTCTCAGGATCATTTCCTTAATCCCAGTGTGATCCCTTGGTGGTGGGTAGTTTTGGGAAGGACCTGGGGCACCCCAGAGGAGATGCAGTGATGGACAAACCACGCCGGAGCATCCTCACCACGGGTCTGGCACAAGCTGCCACGCTGTTTCCAGCGGTCTCCAGCTTCATCCCTCCCTCCTCCTCCTCTTCCAGACCCCATCCCCAAATCCCAGCAGCCCCCTCGGTGGTCCCGGCCGGGGTTAGCCACCCA